CGAGCAGATGGACCGCTGCGCCGCGTCTGGCGCCAACCCGGACAGCTACGAGTCTCTGGTCCGCATGTTTGGGATTTCAGACCACGACCTCATGTTTTCTCTTGATGTGAACCATGATGAGGACCCTGAAGACCAGGAGGCATGCCACTACATCGAAGGGCGGGTCCAGAAGGCTCAGGAGCTGATGAAGGCAGAGTCTGAGCTGCAGGTGGGTCAAAGATTAAAGATCAAATTATATTTGTGCAAACTAATTTGTGTACATTATGTGACACAAGTTAGTTTTGTATACTAAGTGTTGTATCCAATGGAGTCACAGTACAGAAGCAGGATTTTTGCAAGTTATCACTAACCGTTTGCGGTCCCAAAAGTTTCCCAAACGCAGCATTCCTGAACAGTACTGATATGCTGATAATGTTTAGATACATCTACCCCTAAAACCAACAATTATACTCAGATCTTACTCATTGGTTTCCTGGACGACCACAAGATATCCACCAACCAACATTGTTTTGGTTGGTTGCTGCTCTACTGATTGCCTCCCTGCCTCTCTAGGCTCTCTTTTCTCCACTCATCTATAAAAAAAATCTTGGTGTGAAATTTCAGTGTTTTTAGTTTGGGACAGGTAACATTATTGGATGGAGAAAGGAGTACTTTAAAAATCTCCTAAAGCCTACTATCATGTGTTGCCTGGTGGAAGTAGGGAATGGGGACTCGGAGTTGGGCTTGGGATCACTCTCTTCAGCCTTCCTGGTAAGGCCTGTATCAGGGTGATGGAGAGGAGAGAACATCTGACAGTTGAACTTTGGGTTCAAGAGGACCAGTGTGTCCTGGTCAAGAAACAGCGGATCAGCTCTACGCTCTTCACAGGGTTCTTAAGACTTTGTGGGAGTTTGCCCAACCAGTCCATGTGTGTTTTTTATAGACCTAGGGAAAACTTTTAACCATGTCACTCATGGGCCCCTGAGGGGGTGCTCCAGAAATATGGAGTGTGGGGAACGTTATTAGGGGCTATCTGTTTTCTATGCAAGCAGTGTAGGAGTTTGGTTACCATTGCCAGCACTAAGTCAGACCTGTTGCTGGGTTTTGTCTTTGGTTTGTGTGGATAGTGAGGTTCTACTGGCTCCCTCTGGTCAGGACCTACAGGATGCATGGGAGGGATACACAGTCAAGTGTGAGGTGGTTGGGATGGAGATCAGATCCTCCAAGTCTGGAACCATGGTTTTAGACCAGAAAATTCTCTCCAAGTAGAAGAGAAGGTCCTCCCTCAAGAGGAGGAGTTCAAATATCTTGGGGTCTTGTTCAAATGAGGAAAGGATTGAGCAGGAGACCAACAGATGGATCAGTGCGGCTCCTGCAGTAATACGGCCACTGCCTAGTCCGTTGTGGAGAGTTGAGCCTAAATGTGACGCTCTTGATTTACCATAAGTATGGTCAGGTTGGGCCTTGGCCAAAAGAATGATATTGTGAATATAAGGAGCTGAAATGAGTTTCCTCCACACAGTGGCTTGGCTCTCCTTACAGATAGGTTGAGGAGACCAACCATCCAGGAGGGGCTCAGAGTAGAATCACTGTTTCTCCACGTCGAGAGGAGCCAGTTGAAGTGGCTCTAGCATCTTTTCTGGAGACTTGTCATGTCTCTCAGCTGACCTGGGAATGCCTCAGGCTTCTGCCTGAAGAGCTGGAGGAGGGAAGTGTTGGTCTGTCTGGTGAGACTACAGATCCTGTGACCCAGTTCTGGATAACTGGATGAGTACAAGTAGTTTTAACCAGAAGGTCCTAAATGTGGCTTCTTTAGCTTTGAAGGTCTTGAATCCAGTCTATAACTGTTAATATATGGTTTTGGGTTTTTTCTGCAGATGCAGTTGGATGTGGGAACAGAACCAACATGGCAGAGAAAACCACTGGAGAGTAGAGAAGATCCAAATGAGAAGAACTCAAAACATCTAAAACCTTCCAACCCACAGCCTGTTAACAACAACTTCTCCATCTTAATGGGGCCAGCTGCAGTTGAGATGGATTTGTCTGCTCCAGGCAGAAATGAGCCACCACATCATAAGGCAGATGAACCTCCTGAGCTGTCTTTAAACACCTTGTCTCAGAAAACCTCTGCTGATGTTGGAGAACCAATGGAGAAATCTTCAGGAAGTGATGCCAACCTCCAGATAACAGCAAATAATGACAACGACAAACTGAACAGAACCTCCCACTGTGAGATGGACCTAAACTCCAGCGTTGAAGCAGACACCTTCAGGGTGATCTCTGCGCCCAAAGCCTCTAAAGAAAACCTGGAGTTTTCTGCCTTTGTTGCAGAGAACGCTCAAACTGAGGAGGAGCAGAAACTCCTGTCTCCTCCTCAGTTAAATGGAAGGTCTCTGTCAGAGAGTCTACACAACAAAACTGACCACAGCAGAGACAAGTCCACCAATGACTTGAACTGGACAACCAAGAAGCAAACAGCCAAAGATAATTATGACAGCGGTAGGGATGACTATGAAGAGCAGCAGATAGTCACTCTCCAGGTCAGCCCCTTTCAGCTGCCCAGAGCCTCCAGAAGGACGGCTAGACAAACCACACCAGATGACTTCTGTCATTCCCTGCTCCAGTCCACCATAGAGAATATCAATGATCAGGAAATAGAGGAGGAGAGCAACAAACATGACAAAGGCATTGATGTTTCAAGAAAAAATATCCTGTTGACTCCTGAGGAACCTCAGCCAGAGACGTTTGTAGAGACATCTCTGCATTCCTCTTGTGAATACCCACAAGAGGAGGAATATCCTGTTGTAAGCAAGTTTTCCCTGGACAAGACATTCACCCTGAAAGAAGAAGAGAACAGTGATGATGACAATGAGACGGAGATATCAGAGTCAAACTCTGAGGGAAAACAGGAGGGTGGAACTGGATCAACTAAGCTTCGGCTGGACGGATCCAGCAGTGAGGATGAGGAGGAGTTAGAGCAAGATGATGCAGAGGAGATGAAAGTGGACAAGACTGAGGATGAGGAGTCTGAGGAAGAGATGCAAGAACATGAACCTGTGGAAAACCAGGAGGAGCTTAAGAAGTAGGAGAGGGAAGGGGAGTTACAGGAGATTCAAAATGAGGAGGTGCAAGATAATAACCCTCAAGAGGAGAAGTGTCAAGAGGAGCCTGTGGGGAGGGTGATGGAGGAGGCTGAAAAGGAGAACCAAGGGGGGGCGCTAGAGGAGGAGATCCAAGAGAACAACTCAGGAGAGGATGACCCTCAAGACGAGAATAATCAGGAGGAAGATTCTGAGTTGGAGGAGGTGACTGGGGATTTCTTGAAGTTGACCTTCATCGTCGACTCTCCAAACATCCAGGTCAGTTAGAACTTTTCTTGGTTCTTCACTCAGTTCCAGTTCTCACTGTTCCAAACGATGATGCTAAATGTTGAGCTCAAGCAGCAGACCAGGAACCAGGCCTGTCTTGGTGACTAGTTGATGTGTGTTCTCCTGCAGATGAAACCAGCTGACAGCACGGCCCAGAGGACAGAACCAACCGGGACAAGCGAGCCGCTGGAGACCCATAGCAGACAGAGGGAACCAAAGCAGAACAACAACCTCAGCACTGCAGAGATGGACCGGCCTGGTTCTGGAGCAGAGGAACTCTGGCTGAATCCGACTCTAAACGCCTCACCTCAACACCCTGCAGCTGTTGGAGATCTGATGGACCAGAGTGTGGTGCTGGTCACCTGCCCATCATGGCAGATAACAAGAACAGAACTTCTCACTTTGAAATGGGCTGTGAGCCTGACTTTAGCTTCGAAGACAAATCCAACAGAAAAAGTGCTAAGTTTGAAATATTTCATAAAAACTTTGTCCTGCAGTTGGAGGACAGTGACAATGTTCAGAAAGATGAGGAGTCTGAAGAAGACCCTCTGACTCAGGGTCTGGACAAACTGACCATCAGCAGCAGCAACGCCTCCATCGATGGACATCAAGAGAAGACGCCCCACATAAAGAATCCCACTGAGCCAAACTCCTCTGGATCGTCTTCTCACCATCTGAGGAACAGAGATGGGGGCAGTTTGTCTGAGGGTTCCTATAAATCCATCCTTTGGTGTATCACCAAGAACGACGACGCTCTGGACTTCCATGAAGACAGCGAGGATGTTGATGCTCCAGAGAAAATGATCATCCCTTTGATGTGGAAAGAACCTCAGTCAGAAAAAAATGACAACACAGGAGAAGAGGAAGATGAGGCTGTGAACATGTCTATCCTGAAGGAGGAAGAGGAGGAGGACCATATTGATGCCGATGATGAGACGGAGACAGATGGTGATGAAGATGCTGACATGTCCTCTGATGGAAGCGAGAAAGAAGATGCAACTCATTCAAGTCCCAATGAACTTCAGCTGGATGGAGGAGATTTTCAGGAAGATGCAAAGCAAGAGAAGGATTCTGAAGAAGAGGAGGAGGCAGATAAAGAGGAGATACAAGAGGAGGAACTGGTGCAGGGAGACACCCTTAAAGAGGAAACCAAAGACTTGTTTGAGAATGCACAGATACAAGACAATGAGAGTCAGGAGTGGAGGTCTGAGGATGAATATGGAGAGAAGAGGTGTGACAAGGAGGCCAAAGAAGAGAGGGAGTCTGAGGAGATGCAAGAGAAGGAGGACAATTCAGAACACGATGATCCCCAAGAAGAGCCTGATGGAAGGAGAGCACAAGAGGATGAGAAAATTCAGGCAGAGGAGACCGAGGACTGGAAATCTAGGGAGGAAGACGAGTCTGAGGAGGAGGAAACTCAGGAGGAGCAGTTTGATGAGGCCAAGAAGAGGAGATGCAAAGGGGGAAGTTTGGGAAGGAGACGCCAAACAAAAAGGCTGAGGAGTGGGAGTTTGAGGAGGAGTCTGAGAAAAAGGAGACGGAAGAGGAGAGCCACGATGAGTTAGGAGAGAATAGCTCCAAAGAAGAGGAAAATAAAACACAGGTTTCTGAGAAAGAGGACACCCGAGAAGTCCAGGGCCAAGGGTGGGAGTCTGGGGAGGACTCTGAAGAAGAGGAGCCTGAGGAGCCAAAAGAGATTCAAGAGGAAAGGAAGGAGTCAAAGAAGGATGACGCCAAAGAAGATGAGACCGATGAGGAGGTGCCCAAGACGAGGAAATCACAGGAGAGCAAGACTCTGGACTGGGAGGCTGAGAAAGAGAAACACCAGGAGGAGACGCAGCTGGAGGTTAAGACTCAAGAGGATAAATGTGAGGAGACGGTGATGCAACGGGAGGAGGCGTCTGAAAAAGAAGAGACACAAGAGCAGGAGTTGCAACCGGAAAAGTCTGAGGAGGTCAAGGAAACACAAAGAGAGGAAACTCAAGAGGAGTCTAGAAAGGAGAAGGGGCAAGAAGATGAGACGCATCAGGAGGAGTCTGAAGAAAAGGAGCCTGAGGAGGAGATTAAAAATGGAGAGACTCAAGGAGAGGAGTCTAAGAAAGAGTTGACACAGGAGGAGCTTCACAAGGAGCTGTCTGATGACGGTAACACCCCTGAGGAGCAACCTGAGGAAGAGGAGGCGTTTGAGAAAGCAGATGTGCAAAAGAAGGAGGTGAACATGGACGAGTCTGAGGAGGCTCAAGAGGATGTGTCCAAGGACAATATGGAGGAGGAAGAGACACAAAAGGAAGAGATGCAGGAGGTGGCGTCTGAGGAGCAAGAGCCTGAGGAGGGAGAGCATCTAGAGGAGGAACCTGACCAGGAGAAGACGGAGCATCTAGAGGAGGACATGAACCATCTGCAGAACATCCTCCTTCAGTCTGACTCCAGCTTCCAAGCAGAAACACCCAGGATAAAGCCTGAGTTTGACTTGTCCAGCAGAAACTTTGTCCTACGGTTAGAGGACAGCACTGTTGACCTGCAGGACTCAGAAACCGAGGAAGAGGAGCAGACGCTGCTGCATGAGCTCCAGAGGAATGGCAGCTTCAATGTTGAGCAGTCTCTGTCAGAGAGTCTGCACAGACGGACCTTCAGCAGCTGCAGAGTCTCCGATTTAGATGAATCCATCACAACCACTATGAAGAGGAGAGCTGCTGAAGAGGAAGAGGACGAGGAAGAGCTGTTTCTGCGTCTTTTCAACAAGTCGCTCAGGATTCTCAGAGCTTCCACACCAATATCAGGAGCCTCCGTTTGCTCTCCTCAGATCACAAAGAAGAGGTCCTCCTGTCATTCCCTCCTTCACTCCATCACTGATGATCAGGAGGAAGAGGAAGAAGGAGACGCCGGTTCTGGTGCTGATGGTGGTGGAGATGTTTCAGGATGGAGTTCTGAGGCAAAGGAAGAGCAAAATGCTTTCTTCACCTGTAATGAGTCGGAGCAGGAGCAGAAAACCAGAAAGGGTCTCAAAACAGACGAGGAGGAGGACGAGGAGGAGGAGGAGGAGAGTAATGCTGTTTATCTGTCTTTAGAAGAGTTGGAATCGGAGGAAGATGATCTGATGTGTTGAACTCGGTGAGGAAACCCAGCAGGGCAGCGAACAGTCGGCTCATGGACCCTTCTGACCTCTGGACAGCAAACGGATTCAGTCTCAGAGATGTGAGGAAAGGTCTGGGACAGCCGGACCAAGATGGACGACGGCCGGTGCTTCTTCCTCAGACCGGTCCAGGACCGACCAGCCTGTCCAGGACCGACCAGCCGGTCCAGGACCGACCAGCCTGTCCAGGACCAGCCGGTCCAGGACCAACCAGCCTGTCCAGGACCAGCCGGTCCAGCAGCTCAGCAGGTCTCCAGGTTTAGCCAAGCAGATTTGGGCCCAAATAAAGGCTCAGGACTTCAGGACCCGTTTTATTCAGCAGGACTGAGTAATTATGTGATCGATTGTTGGAGCTCAGATTAGTTCTGTGTTCAGTTTAAACTGCAACATTAAAGTTTCCAAGTCTGGAGGTGTGAAAGTGTCCAGAAAGGAAACCAAAGTCTCAGGTTCCCCGACCCTGACCTGTAAATCCAAAATGGCCGCCTCGTTACGTCTGATCAGCTGTTTCTGTTTAAGCCACACTATTCTGTAAAAACATTTTAGTTAAACAGTTTGAAAATACAAAAAAGTGTCATGATGTCTGTTTGGTTTAGTTTATCTGGGTTTGGGTTCACAGCTGTCCTGGTTTTGTTTCTTGTTTGCGTTCATCCCTTTAGCTAGCTTAGTTCCTCAGATCAAGACTTTTTCCCTCTTAATTTGGCTCGTTTTCTCCTGTCCCACTAACTATTTAAGTTCTGGTCTCTGTCTGGAGCGTCTTACGCCTGTAGTTTGGTGAATAAATCTTTGAGTTGAATAAATCTTCAATGCGTCATTGTTTGCATTTTGTCTCTCTCATCTCCACCAATCCTGACAAAAAGACCTTATTAGCTTGCTTTGCTAATAGCATTTAGCTGATTGCACTGAGCTGATCTATACTAGCGCTGAGCTAATATCACTCAGCTAATCTGTATTGAATAATAACACTGAGCCTGATAGTCGTCCGATTGTCCATGTTGGAACATATTTTCATTTGGATTGATGTGAGTTTGAGGAAAACTTAAACCAGTGGTAAATGGTTCCTGTTCTCAGATCAGTTGCTGTTTTCACTGTGATCCTAATGAATGCCAGACTCCTGAGTCTCTACAGGCAGCAGAATATCATCAGAACCAGTCCGAGGAGCTGCTGCTGGAAATTAAATCATTTGGAGAAATTTCATTTCTCTATGAACACTGAATTTAAGTTCTCGCTGAATAAACTGCTGAGCTGACTATAAATTCAATCTAAAGTTGAACCTTTAAAGTAATTTGTATATTTTTTTATTCATAAGATGAATTGAATATATAAGCTTCATAAAGTTTTTTAATTTCATATTTAGAATAATTAAACCACAGGAAAGAGAAATGAATAACAGCCTCCTCACATCTGGATTTCTGGAGAAGATGGTCCATCAGTGACCCAGAAAAGACCAAACATGGCGCATGTTTAATCCAGAAAACTGCGCCTTCATGGACGCTTCGGAAGATCTGACAACAATAAGAGGAACGGGAAGCTAGTCGTCTCCTGAATAAGTAAAATTAAAATCCATGAGGCTTTCTCCGTTCATGTCGCTGCTGTAAACACAGAGGGCGATGGAAACAGAAACTTTCATTCTATCAAATAAAATCAAGGAAGCAACTCAGTTTATTTACAACTGTCCCAAAACATGATGCGCATGTCCCTGCAGTTCGAGGAATGTCCTCCAGGTGGCACCAAACAGCCCAATTGGGAATGCAGTGAAAAAGTCACTTTTTCACTGGGATCAGTATCAGGTGATTTGGACCGGTACCGGTACCTGCTGCTAGGCAGACAGAACCAGCAGTTCCTGGTTTTATGATCAGAGTCCTGAATGATTTAAACAGGCGACACTTTAAATGTTTTATTTATTTTAACAGAATATCAATATTGCAGTGAATATTTGATCTATTTCTGATGGTTGCAGTTGAAGCTGGTTCTGATCCCAGAGTTCAGTTTGCATTTCTTCCACTTATTTAGTTATTTATTTGGATCAGAACCAGGATCCACATGGAGAAATCAAACCGAATGTCTTCCTGTAGCAAAACGGATCCGATCCGGTTAGTTTCTGTTCAATCAATCAAACTATTTCTATAGCATATTTCAGCTGCAAGGCATTTCAAAGTGCTTCACATCATTAAAAACAAAAACACAGAGTAGGTCCAACCCGTCTGGTTCTAATGAAACGGGAAACGTTCTGCTGCTGATCTCCGGTTAAATCCAGATCAGCATCTTTACAGATTTAGAAATATCCTGGAGCAGCAAAGGACTCTGGGAACTGATCGCTTTACATTTAGAGAAATCAGCAGAATCCAAAAACTGAAGCTTTATTTACGGAAACTGAAGAAGCAGGAAAATATTAAACACTTTTGTTTAGTCACAACTTTATTTAATGTTTTTACATTTAAACCGTAAAACTGTTTTCTGTTCGGTAGAAACGATTTCAGCTTGCAGAGATTTCTCATGATGACAGAAGAAAATGTCCAGGATCGTTTCTAACACCAGAACCGGAGAGAAACATCCGACCCCTGGGGCATGAGAGGCCGATCAGAGTCCATCTACCGGAACCAGCCGGCTTCCGGCTGGTTCCGGGTCGCTGGGCGGTTCTGCTGCTACCGCCTGTGGCTGAGCTGCCGGTACAGCTGGATGGTGATGAGCTGGACCTCAGGGTCGCCAGGTCGGAGGTCGATGGCTCTGAGGAAGAAGTCCAGCGCGTCGTCGGGTCGGTTCTGGCTGATCCTCTCCTTCCCGCTGCGGACCAGAGACTCGTAGCTGTCCGGGTTGGCGCCAGACGCGGCGCAGCGGTCCATCTGCTCGCCGGAGGCCAGTTCTGCCTCGATGCTCGACTCCTCCAGGCTCAGGCGCTCGGGCGATGCTCCGTTACCATGGCAACTCCGCTCCTCCTCCGGCCGAGGCTCATCTTGAGCAGAACCCGCCATGCTGTCGCCGCCCGCTGAAGAGAACTGATCCGACGCCTCTTCCTCTTCATCATCATCATCCTCTTCCTCTGTATGCAGAGTCTCTCCAGCCGTCTCTTCCTGCTCAGAGTTCATCCCCAGCACCTTCTCTGCTTCCTCTTCATCGCTCTCGTTCTCGTCTGAGTCCTGGATGACAAGCTGGAGCCGGGAGCGATTGGAGACCACAGACGTGTTTCCTGTGACGCTCCGTCTGGACCTGGGTGGAGACATTTTGGGTGTGGACGATCCGAGCACCTGGAAGGAGCCGATGAGCTGCTGCTCCTCTTCATCACTGTCATAAATCACTGCTGCCCTCTTCCTCTTGGTGCCCACGATGGACTCGTTGGCGGACTCGTTGGCGGACTCGTTGGCGGTCCCGTTGGCGGACTGGTCCAGATCCGAGACGCCGGTCCGTCTACAGAGACTCTCCGTCAGGGACTTTTGGACGCTGAAGCTGCCGTTGAGCTGAAGCTCAGTCAGAAGTTTCTGCTCCTCTTCCTCGGTGTCGGCAGCGTCCAGACCCTCGTCTTCGTCGCTGTCCTCCAGCTCCAGGTTGAAGTTTCCGTGAGAAGACTCGAGCCCGGCACTCAGTCTGGAGGCGTCATACTGCTGAAGGTCCGAGTCGCTGTGGTTCTGCTGGTCGGTCTCAGAGGTTCTGGTCGGCCTGACGGGCTTCTCGTCTGCCGTCATCTCAATCAGACTGGCGTCCGGTCCAGAAGAGCTGCCTATTGGTTCTGCAGAAGCATCTCCAGACAGATCAATGACTTCATTGCTGGACTCCTTATGGGGTTGCTTTCCTCCAGAACCGGACCGGTCCATATCCACCACCTCCAGAGACACTTTGGGGTCAGGAAGTGGAAGAGGAAGTCCTGGCATTGGGTTCCTTGGTTTCTTCTCGTTGGACCGGCGCCTGGTGTTGTCCGGCGTCTGTCTCAGCCAGGCTGGTTCTGTGCTGGACGCCATGCTCGCCGCCAGCTGCATCTGCAGGAACAGAACCACCATCAGCAAGAGGAGAACAAGATGATCAGCCCAGGGTCAGAGGTCACAACATGAAGACATGACTAGAAACCCCAGAGCTCCATCTCTACAGGCCTCAGCTTAAAGGTTAAAGAAACTTCTCTCTAGAAACAAGATGGCTGCCGGACTGAGTTTAGATGCTGGACCATAATGGACCTCTCATTAGCCATCAGGAACGATGTTGGACGGTTGATGCAGAGGGTTTTGTTTTGGCGCTACAGAACCTGGGAAGCTTGTCAGTAAGTTTCTAACGTGTTTCTGGGTTTCAGGCCTCCAGGCCTCAGCACCAAGAGCAACAAAGATCTGGTGGAACTGACTTCAGAAGGATGCAGCTGCTTCCTGGTCAAAGACCCACAGATATAGGGTGACCCTAAAGCCCTGGATTCTGCCCCCTGTGACCCAGTGTCCCTACAGCCAAGGGAGACCACCGATTGGCCCCCAAGATGGCTGCCAGAGCTCAGATGGACCGGGGCACATTGCCCTCTACTTGAGGTGACCCCTAGGGGTCAAGAGGCATGGATCCCCATCAGAGGCCTGGTCAGCCCCCGATGGGGATCTGTCTGGTTCCCAAACTGCCCGACAGATCCCCAGGCTCAGTGGTGCCTGTGACAGCCCACCACTCCGGGCTCAGCTTCAGCATCTGCACTAAGCGCCTCAACTAAAGGTTAGGCTGCCCCATACCGCCATCAGATATACCCAGGCCGTCCCCCACAGCTACAGTCAGCGGGACCAAACCAACCCTCTGAGCCCCATCTCTCCATCCCATGGTGTTTGCCACTGGGCCATAAGGTGGGATGGGGGATACTGCAGAAGCTATGCCTGCATGGCTCATCGTTCCACACCAGAGAACCTACTGAACTGTGGTGTTGCATATATTAGGGAGGAGGATCAAACCTGGAAGAAACTGGGTCAACCCTGTAGGGAGTAGGACAACAGAACAATGATCCCAAATACAGCAGCTTATCTACAACAGAATGGCTTGGAGAAGGAAGAATGAATGTGCTGCAGTTGCTTGGTCAATGTCCTGACATTATGATGACGGAAAGCTTTGGTGGAACCAAAGCAGAAGTAACCAGGTTTGTTTAAACTCGGTCAGAGAACGTCTGGAGGCCTCTAATAGATCTGACTAGACCATCTTTAGCTCACATTACTGTAAATCTGGGCTGTCAGACTCCTAAGTTGTGGTTCCATGTAGACATGATTTAATCTTTACCCACCTGCAGCTCAGACTCTGCCTTCATCAGCTCCTGAGCCTTCTGGACCCGCCCTTCGATGTAGTGGCATGCCTCCTGGTCTTCAGGGTCCTCATCATGGTTCACATCAAGAGAAAACATGAGGTCGTGGTCTGAAATCCCAAACATGTGCATAGCATGCAGTTGAGCGATGTGCTCATCTAGAGCTGGGTCAGTCCGTCGTTGTCTGGAGTGCAGATCCTGCAGCTGAAGTTGGGTGCTGGAAGACCTTGGGTCCTCCAGGGTGAAGAGCTCCTTCAGTTCTTGTCTGCTGAAGTACCTGAACGGGTTCTTTGTGTCTCCGGTGTTCTGCCGGATCAGGGAGTCTTTGAAAACCTGCCGCCTGTAGATCTTCTCCTCCACCGTTCCACAGGTTATCAGTCTGTAGATCACTACGTTTTCTGTCTGGCCAATGCGGTACGCTCTGTCGACAGCCTGAGCGTCTGTAGCAGGGTTCCAGCTCGGATCGTAGATGACTACTCTGTTTGCTGCTGTCAGGGTGATGCCCACTCCTCCAACCTGAGTGGTGAGGAGAAACACGGAGTAACGTTTGTCTGTTTGAAACCGAGAGATCAGTTTTTCTCGTTCTGTGATCTGCGTGATGGTTCCATCCAGTCTCAGCAGTTTGAACCCTCTGTTGCCAAGGATCCGTTGGAGGATGTCGAGGACTGTCCTGTAGTGAGCAAAGACCAGCGTTCGGTGGCCTTCCTCTCTCAGACGCTCTAGAAGAGCCAAAAGAAAGACAAGCTTTCCAGATTCTGATATTAAAGTTTCATCTGAAACGTTTGCGATACTCTTAACATCAGTCTCATCGTTTTCCCCTTCAGGATTTTGATCCAGCCCTAACTGTGCAGTAGCATTGGCAGACAACAGTCTGGGATGGTCACACAACTTCTTCAGGATGTTTAATTCAGCCAGAGGTGATTTGGTGGTCATCAGCAGCTCCTTGATGTGGTCCAAACTGATGAACTGTCTGTAAATGTCCTCCTGAATGGCACTCAGGTAAGTCCAGACGATCAGGTCATTCTTTCGAGTGAGCTTGGGCATGACTGCCCCAGAGGTTGGCTGAGGGTTTTGGTGGTTACCAGGTTCTGAGTTTGCCTCTTTTCCACCAGTCTTCTTCTTTTGCACTTCTGATTTTGTTCTACGAAGGAAGTAGGGCTTGATCAGAGTCATGAGGTTCTCGGACATCCTGGAGCCGAGAGCTTTTTCCCCAGGAGTAGCATCCTTCTCCCTGGCGCGGGTGATGGGGTTCTCATACTCTGTTTTGAAAGTCTTGGCTGTTCCCAGGAGAGTTCCCTGACAGGCAAAGTCAAAGAGGGTCCACATTTCCCTGAGGTTGTTCTGGACCGGCGTTCCCGTCAGGAGAATCCTGTTCTTGGAGGGAATGGCGTAGGCACTTTTGGCTGTTTTGGTGGAAGAGTTTTTAATCTTGTGTGCTTCATCCAGGATCATGTAGTCCCAGCAGAACTCCTTTCCCTGAAATGAGGCCAGCTGCTGCCAGTTGTTCATCAGCATGGTGTAGGTGGTGATGATCACTCCTCCTCGCCTCTGAACTTTCTCCAAACTCCTGGTCCTCTCTGCTTTACTGGCACCGTGGAAATCCTTCACCCTCATTCCTGGAGTCCATTTGCTGAACTCCTTGACCCAGTTTGTGATGAGAGAGGTTGGCATGACCAGCAGAGTGTGTTTTATCAGGTCGTTGTCGTACATGCCAGAGAGGAAGGAGATGATCTGGATGGTCTTCCCGAGTCCCATGTCGTCCGCCAGAACTCCTCCTCTTCGGCCGTCCCTGTAGAGGCCGTACAGGAAGGAAACTCCGACTCTCTGATAGTCGTACAGCCTGTCATGCAGCTCTTTAAACAGCATTAAGCCGCTGTTGTTCACATTGACAAACTCGTCGTCTTCATCCTCCAAGTCATTCTCGGCCAGGAGTTCTTCGATCTTCTTTATTCTGCTCTCCAGTTTGGGAGTTTGGTGAATGCTGAACGCCTGTTTGAACAGCTTCAGAGCTTGCTGAATGTCTCCTTGTTTGGCAACAGCTTTGCCGTCTGAAATCAACCTGAAACAAAGAACTAGGGCTGTCATGATGATGAATGATTTGAATATGATTTCAGAGTTTTGTATAATCTTTGGTCATGTTAACTAAAATAAATTGACCTATTACTGTTAGAGGTAAATTTTCTAACCTATAGAAAAGTAAATGTTAGGGATGTAAAACTGAAAATCTGGGCCAATGTTGATATGTTGATATCTGGTATCAATACTGCTGTCATGGCAGCATTTACCAATGTTTTAATTTGTCACATTTTTTATTTGATTTCTTGTTAGAATGGTCGATAGATTAGCAGATTACTGAAAAACTCATTTACAGCAGCCCTAAACAGAACCTCTGCCGGGTCGGCTCTAGTCCAAACCGGACCGGTACCAACAGTGGGAACAAGCCGGGCAGCAGGACACGCCTGAAGCCACAACAGGTTGTTTTAATCTGATTCAAACTGAGTCCATGAAGAGTCTGAAGCGCTCCACACCAAGTTATAGTTGCACATTTAAAAGTTTGCATCGAGTGCAGATTTAAAAAATAAATAAAAAGACTTCACTGATCCCAAAGGGAATGTAATTAATTAATTAATTTGGTGTGTGAGCCGATCAGTCGGTGTGGCTTTTACATCAGTTCTTTGAAAACGAGTCTTCACACAGGGTTCATATAAATACTGGTACAGGTGAACCTGCTCTGCCAGAACACCTTCCAAACAATCATGTTTCATGAATGGCGGCACCACAATCTGTGCAAAAATGTTTAGGTGAGCACCAACTCGCTGTGACGGTGTGAGGCTGAGGCGCAGGACAGGGACGGCGCGATTGGTGCGTGTCCACTGGCACCCAGTTCAATACATCGACTCCAAACCGAGCTTAGCACAACATTTAACAAAGCCTGGAGGCAGATAATTTACCTTGAAGAATTTTAGAAATTGATGTTTGTTACAAAACCTAATGTGACACTGACATCAGCACTAAACCATCAGTAACTTCATGTTTCTGCAGACTGACGGGCCTGAACACCATGTGGTCTGAATAATCACATCAACGACCCAACAGCACCACAGTGAAACAGTCCAGCAGCTGGTTCAGGGTTCATGTCACTCTCCACTTCCTGTGAGGTTTAAGGTCAGAAAAACATCTGACAATGTTGGTTAGTGTTGAGATAATGATGTGATTTATATAAACGATAAAGAGTTAATGTGTTTCCAGGCTCACAGTAAATAGACCAACATGAAAACTCACCTGTTTATCTGCTCCACTTAACAAAAGGTTTTAATTAACTTAAGGCCTTTCAGTCACAACTGATTTCAAACTGGATGGAAATATAAACGTTTTTTATTTTAAAGTGAATTTACTGCCTCACTAATAGGTGGTAAAATAAATATTTTATTTAGGGTAATTTTCTGTTTAACCATATGTTTAGTTTTCATTTATTGCAATATAATCTTTTTATCCACCAGTGTTTTGATTTACAAAAATCATAAAAGTCCCTCATTCATCCGTTTTATCTGTTAAATTCAGGCAGAACTGGACCTGTGCTCTTTAAACTGGTTCTGGTTAAACTGCCATGACAGCTTCTACTGGGAATGTTAACAAATAGATTCAAATATAAAACATTGTACAGATTGTGCTTGAATGAATCTACATTTGCTAAAGAGTCCTGGTGGTAAAATAAAACCACCATGGTTCAGATACGAGTCCTGTCTGAGCTGCTTATGGATATTTTGATCTCAAGTGTTCAGAATATTAGAAAAATTGCTGAAACAAATTGAAGAAGTTGGAGAATGTTAGTTTGTTAACTTATGTTTACAGCAAAGACAAAAATAAAATAAATAAAAATTAGATGTAAAACTTTGACATTTCATTACCTGCTGTATGTTTCCATCTGGTCCTCCATACACAAAGATCTGCAAAAACAGAGTCTGGGTCAGAACCAGAACCAAACCAGAGGATACATCCAGACCCAACTGGAAACCAAACAGCTCAGAGATTTATCAAATATTTCTCTTGTTTTGATATTATAATAAATCGCTGCTTGTTGCTCATTTTATGTATTTATGGTAAGTTTTGTCTCCAACCTCCGTCTGCATCGATTCAGACTCACTAGCTGTTGATTTAAAGTCATATTTAATGTCTGCAGTACAGAAATGTTGCTTTATGACTTTAAATTTACTTTAACCTGCATCCAAACCACCTGAAACAGACTCCTCTACCAGTGAGAGGATTAATTTAATTTTTAAATTAATCATTAAGAAATGTTTAAAAACAACAAAAAGAATGTAATAATTTACATCAGAGTATCCAAAGCGTAGACCGACTGCAATTCAAGCCCAATTCTGCCCACCAGCACAGGATGTTGATCCACATGGAGAAATATTACATATTAATTATTACAGACAAATTAAAATGTTATTATTAATAGGGAAAATGGGATATACAGCACAAAGTATGTATTTTAATAATCAGGCTTCTTCTGACGTTGTCTTCGGTCTGTTGCTGGGATCAGTTAGCCACTAACTAGCTCCTCCATTATAAACCATGTGAACATCAGCTAGCTGCGATGCTAACTCAGCCGTTCAAATAAACAGCCGTTAGAGTCGCTTCACTTACTTCTCCAGCCTGTCAGAAACCTCCGACACCTCCGCGTCACCCTTACAGCCCTCCGTGTTCATGTTTTCATACAAATTAAAATCTACTTTATTGTTTCTTTAACGTCAAATCAGCAGCTGCCTCCTCAAAGAAACTTCCTGAATGAGAGATTTGATGTTTTCATATTTGAAGCAGAGACTCTTCCCCCCGCCGATTCAATGCAGCCAACCAGAGAGCACGCTGTCGTGACGCAGAACTCACGTTGTCCAATCAGAAAGGAGATATGGCTTAAAAAAAAATAATAAAAAAAAAGAAAAAAAAAATATATTTAGTACAGGTAAGAAGAGTCTTATGAAAACTGGTTATAAGTAACTGGGAAGTCACACACTAAATTATGGACTTGTATATATATTTTAATAACTTTGTTGACAAAAAAGTAACTGGATTATGGATATATTATATATGCAGGAGCTAAATCAACGACACAGAAAGCGGACAGATTCCAGAACAAAATACAAAAATCTGTATTAATAAAAATGTTAGTAAGAGACACAGAAGAGAAATTTTAAATGATGAGACTGAGGGGAGGTCATACCAATCTGGATGAAATCTCGTGACTTTACCTACTTTTTTATTAAAGAAGTTAAAGCTTGTCGCTGCGGGAGGTGGCGCTGGTGAGCCTCTGTGTGTCAATCAAAGCGAAGAAGAAGACAAAAAGTAAACAGGAAGCCGTAATTTACAGGAGGTTTTCTCCGTGTTTTTTGTGGTTTTTCTGTTAAACTGTGAGCTTTAGCCGCAGCCAACAACTTCATATGATATTATCGGATTTTATTTTATTATAAATCATCAGATTTATCGGTCAGCTTGACCGCCATGTTCGGTTCTGGAGGAGGGATGAGCAACGCGCAGCTTTTCCAGCAGGTCAGAATATTAGTAACCTTTAAAACTTAATATGTTAATTTCATTACTTTATTCAGAAGCTAAGATCTATATTGAATAATATTCTATTTTAACTATATAAGACACATTCATCTTTATTAAATTATAAGATGGAAAATGATCATATAAACAAATCATTTCATACCCAGGAGGTTCCATTGCGGTACGATTGATTTCTCTCCGGTTTTATAGATTACAGACAAAAGCAAAAAACAAATATGTCACACAAAACTTTAATAGTTCATTATTTTATCAAGACTTTATATTTCTTCCCATTTACATCAGTTTTGGTTCCATCTGTGTTTGGGTCAATTAGCCTTTTCTAAAAAAAATCTGTGACCTTTGACCCATTATAGAGTCCAGTGTGATTCCAGGTTCAGGGTCGGTTTGGGTCTGTCGGAACCTACATAGAAGGTTTTCCAGACTCAGGTGTAATGTTTGTATGTGGGCTGCAGGTGGCGCTGCTGCGCTGGCTTTCCTCGCAGTCGGAGGCCGACCGGAAGCTGCTGGCAGCGGTGACGGGGGTCCAGGTGGGCCGCGAGCTGCTGAACCGGATCACCGGCCAGGACCAGGTGGACGCTTACAAGGTGTGCGTCAGGCTGCAGGAAGGTGCTCAGGTGAGATGTTTCCAGAACAAACAGTCCTGATGCTGGTTCTGGTTCTGTTCAGAGGGAATGCATCCTGAGCATCGCAGGTTTCCTCCAGAAGAACCCGCGGGCCTCGCAGGCCCAGATCAACGCCGAGGTGGAGAAGAACGTTCTTCTGTTTGCAGCGCGGGTCAAAGCCCTGGAGTCCACTCCCTTACTCTGACTGGAGAGGAAGTTTTCACACCCAGAGGTCAAACTACATCCTTTCTGAGCTGAACCTCAAGGCATTTCACAATAAAAGCTTCTCTGTGTCGCCTTTTTTCCATCTTTAAACCTTAAAACATTTTTGATCTTTTACTCTAAATCAAGAAATAAACAGAAGCTGTTCTTTAATAATTGGGTTTATTATGTTTGTGTTTTCCAATATTGTTTCGTTTCTCTTTTCTAACCGTCACTCTAGTTACAACAGTGAGAACTGTTATTTTATGCCAAGCCACCAGGGGGCACTGTCAACTGTCACATGGGGTTTGTACTTTTTTATGTTATGCGTTTCTGTGACGAGAATAAAGTTCTGAACAGAACCAGAACCAGGTCCAAAACAGAAGTTATGTTTACTGAGATCAGGCGGTGCAGCAGGACTGGCCTTCAGTCGGTTTGTTTCAGTCTTTAGTGCCAAAACTCAAAATGATTCCATGAAGAATCTGAAAAACTGAACAAAAGTTTTAAACTTTTAAAAGTTTTGAGTACGTGAGCCGATCATGGCTTTTATATCTGACGTAGACGTCTGTGGACTTTTCTTCGATTGTTGGATTTCAGTTTTAAATTTTAATAATTATGTTGGGTGGGGATTTTATTTTTTTCTCAAATTATAAATTGATAAACATCAATATTTTATTGAAACTGAAATCACAGAGGTCCATCCCATAAATCTGGAGATACTAGCAGATGAGAAGCTCAATTATTTAATATCTAAGCTGATTTAAGATTCTCAGAGATTTTACTTGTTAAATATCAGAACCAGAACCGGGGAAGCAGCTGATGGTTCTGATGAATCTGTTCCAACAGAATCAAGTTGTTTTTTTCTCATTTTTGATCTTGTGTTATAATAAATTAGGTGACAGGACGTGACTCTGACTCGGTACGCAGCAGGAACCAGAACCTCTGACCTTCCAGAACCAGCAGAACTTCTGGATTCTGACGGATCTGCTGCTGGTTAAATATTTTACTGAGTAGCAGAGAAAAGTTTCTTCTATAGTAGCAGGTTTCATGTTGTGTGCAGGTTCTGGTCCAGTCAGTGAGGTATGCATTAATGGTTCTGGTGGTTCTGTTGGTCAGCCCGGCTCGCTGCCTCTGGAGAAGGAGCCCAGCTGCTTGGTGTTGGCGTCCCTGAGCTGCTGCAGCTGCCGCTGGCCGCGGCGGTACAGGTACTCGATGTGCATCACGTCCGTCTTCTTGATGCGCGCGTTTTCCCGGAACTCATCCCGGATTCTGGGCAGGAAACCCGGTTTGTCCTTCCCAGCCCGCAGGAAGTGGCGGTACAGAGCCAGGACCTGCTTCTGCAGCTTGCTGTGCCGTGACATGGCCCGGTTCTGGAGATGGTTCTGATCAGACAGACACTACACACATCCTCGACCCTGATCAGAGCTGCTGCTCCCAGCCAATCACAGAGCTCTGAGGTCCCTGAATGCAGCACCGCTCTGGTTCTGGACCCTGAATGCAGCACCGCTCTGGTTCTGGAAGCTTCAGCAGGAAAACAAGAAGAGATGAATTATTAGAAATGTGATGTGACGATTTCAGTTCAGTTTTCAGTTCTTTAAATACAGGATATAGTTTACAGAGTCCATAATCGTATGTCACTGTATCCTAAAATAAGTGCACATTTTAGTTCACGCTGTGTGTTTCAGTCAGTGTTCTTGTTGCCAGTTTGTTGAGTAAAGTTCAGTTACTTTAACCTCTATGGGCCAATATTGTTATTTTAGATGATCTACCCAAGTTTGTTGGGTTAAATGATAAATAAAACAACTATTTTGGACTCATGACTGTGCTTTTACTGCTCTGTCCATTAACATAACATAATCATGCAGAAACGATCAGTTGATGTTGGACTGAACACACCATGGATGGACGGTTGGTTGGATGATGCTGAGCCAGACGTTAGAAAGGCCTTACCGGATCAGCAGCCCAGTGCTCTGACTTCAGTTGTATGCTGAACGTGTTTTGCAAACATTGCACCTCATATTAAAGTCACAGGTTCATTTCCCATGTGTATTTACTTTAAATTAAAATACTGTTAGATTTTTATTAATTGAAACATCATTCAAATATTTGAAGACGGAAAATATAAAGTCATCTGCCAGATGTTTTAACTAACTACACATTTGTACCTGCAGCTTAAACTTTCATAGTTTGCATAATATCTTCTGTTGCTTTTTTCCCCCCTTTCTTTATTTTGGGGGGAGGGGTGGAGGCACCAAAACTGTCTCCAGCCCAGGGCCCTGATTCTTCTAAGTCCGGCACTGGTTAACTGGACTCTTTCACAGCTTCACTTGGTCCTACTAATATGACTAAACTTACTGGAGAATAAAAACGTTTGCATTTTTTTTTTCATCTTTAAAATCCCACAGAAATGATAATCAGACAGAAGCAGACGTTCAGGTGACTCTTAAAGAAATATTTAACCAAACAACTCACAATAAAACAATAAAATGCTCCTGTACGATAATGAAACATGAAGCTGCTTTAAACTCACCTGCTTAATGAAGATGTTCCGATTAAAAAAAAAGTTAATATTTGTCCGTTAATGGAATATTTAGATTTGGAAGCGGCTAGCTACTGCTAGCTTCCTCTGTGACCTTTTTCTGCGTTACAACACAGGATGTTAACGAAAAAAACTACAAAACACGTGACTTCCGGTGGCACCTTAAAAACAAACTCAGGATTCTAAAATTTACAGAACATCACTAAACAGAACCGAATCATTCGGTTTTTGAGTAGTACAATAAAATTAAAAAAATTAAAAAACAATTTGAGTGAAACTTAATGTCAGACCGGAACCGGAAACAGGGTTCGTTTCCGGTTCGACTTCGAATGGAGCAGTGACTGGAGCAGAGCCGAATACAAACAGGTCTGTGGTTTAATCTGTTTAATGTTTCTGACAGGTACCCGTAAAATCCGCCCGTGTTGCCATGGTAACGGTGCGTTAAACTACTTCCGGTTCGGTTTCTGGTACCCTTTGGCATCTTGGGCTGTTTCACCATTTCTAAAGGCTAAAGGATTCAGCTTTAACATCCAGAACACTGAGATCAGACAGAACCGGGCCGAAACCGAACCCCCGGGCCTCTGGGTTTCTGACTGAAGAAACTTGCATCAACTTGGCAGAATATTATGACCTCTGACCTCTGATTGTTGGTGGTTGGAGGGTTTCAGTCATCAACTTAACATCTTGACCTCTAACTGGGTCAGAACCTCTCCAGAACTGCAGCTCATAATGGTTTGCAATCACAATAGTCCAGTGGAGGGGTCAAAGGTCACCAAGGCTCAGTGTGGCAGACCCAGTAGAACTCCTGGTGTTTCTGTGTTCCTGCAGGCATGGAGGTGACGGCGAAGGAGCGGCAGCAGGTGGAGGAGCAGGTGGAGCAGCTGCTGAGCGGCCAGGGGTCAGAGGTCACTCTGTGTGACCTGGGTCTGGAGCTGAGCAAGCCGGCGACTCTGAGGAAGAACGTCACCTACATCGTCTGCGGCGTCATTTTCAACGAGCAGGTGAGCCGAGAGCAGGACCACAGCTGCTAGCATTAGCATCATTGTGATTAGCTTA